AGGTGATTAAAGTAGAAGGTTTTCTACACTGAGTTCGAGGGACAGGGTATGACTGTGGTCTTCCAGTGCCCTGGCATGGTGGACACCAGGAGATGATGGAACCATGGTAGCCCAGCCAGCAGAGTAGGGTGATAATTGTGGGGAAATTGTAAGGGCTATACAGCCGCTGCTGGAAGTGCTGCCTGAAACAGAAAATAGGGGGAGATACCATGCTTCCCCCTGTCTTCAGCTCTCAGCTCTCCTGGCAGGACCTCTTGGATCACTTGGAATCTGGGAATCTGCAGATGTAGCCCCTCAGTACTAAGGAGAGGAGAACAGGACACTTGATCTGAAAAGAATGTTACCTCTCTCTGCCTCAGTTTAGCAGAGGCCATGGTACTAGGGATATTAGAATTAATGTTAGATGGATCTTGGCTGAAAACAGAGAATACTAGAAGAATGTCCATCTGTGTTTCATTGACTATGCAAAGACATTTGACTGTGTGGATCACAACAAACTGTGGCTGACTCTAAGAATGGGAATCCCAGAACATTTGATTGTGGTTATGCGAAACCTATACTTGGACCAGAGACAGTCATCAGAATAGAGCAAGGGAACACTGCATGGTTCAAAATTGGGAAGGGTGTACACCCAGCATGTATTCTGTCTCCATACATTTTCAGACTATATGCAAAACAGATAATACAGAAATTGGAGCTATAAGAGGAGAAATGTGGCATCAGGATTGGAGGAAGATTCATTAACAACCTGTGTTATGCAGATGACACTGTGGATTAAAGCTCAACATCAGGAAAGCAAAGTTTCATACCACTGGATCAATTGGAAGAGATTGATATTATTAGCTTTAGTTTGCTTGGCTCCACAATCAATACTTTTGGTACCAGCAGACAGGAAATCAAGAGATGAATTGCATTGGAAAATTCTGCTGTCAGCGACCTCTCTGTAGTACTGAAGAACAAGGACGTCAGTCTGGAAACTAAGGTGCACCTGATCCAGGCTATAGTCTTCTCAGTTGCTTGCTATGTGTCAGAGAGCTGGACAATGACTAGGGATGACAGAAAGAGAATTGATGCCTTTGAGCTCTGGTGCTGGAGAAGACTATTGGACTGCCAGGAGAACAAACAGGTTAGTCCTGGAGAGGGTGAAGCCAGGCTGCTCCTTGGAGGCAAGGATTCTTCTGAGGCTTTGTCGGACATACTTTGGGGATATTGCAAGAAGGGACAGATCCTTGGAGAGGGACATCATACTTGGAAGGGTAGAGAACCAGAGAAAGAGAGAGAGACCATTGCTGAGGTGAATTGATACAGTAACTGAGGTAATGAGGTTAGGTGTGTCACAGACAGTAAAGTTGGCACAGAGTAGAGCAGGTTTCAGGGCTATTGTGCATAAGGTTATTATGAGTCGAAAGTGACTGGACAGCACCTAACAACAACTGCTTCAGTACAATAGCAAAAATTGATGAGTTCTTATGTTAGAGGAGGTAGAATTTGGAAAAAATATTAGGACAACTTGGAAAGCTCTTGGAGTGTTTATCTGAATACAGACCAAGAATGGCAGAGATTTGTCTGTGACTCCTTAGATCCTATTTTGTAGAAAGGTCTACTCGCTGACCAATCAATGTCTTTATGTCTATGTATTTGTAGATAGTCTGCTTCTTCACCTGGTCAAAGCTTTCAGCACTTTGCACAGGCTACATCTTAGGAAGCCTTCCCTGCACGCCTCTAGGTACCTTGGCTGCTGCTGTGGCTCTTTGTATCTTGTACTGATTCCTCCACTGAAATGCTCCATTTAATGTCCTCACTCCCACAAGACTGGGAGTACCCTGAGGACATGGAGTCTTCTTTTTCACTGGTGCTCTCTAAGCATTTCATATTTTCACTTCCTGCCCTTTGCTAGCATCTAAGGTAGGTGCTAGGCTGCCAAACACCCAACACAAAAAAAAATCCCAAAACCATAAAGCTGGGTGCCATTGAATCAAGTCTGACTCCCAGTGACCCTGGGTGGCAGAGTACACCTGAAAAGGCTATGCATTGTAGTGGATTGCCACTTCTTTCTCCTAGGGAATATCTGGTGCGTTCAAACTACCAGCCTTTGGTTAACAGCCAAGTGTGTAAATTCTGTGCCACCAGCCTTCTTTACTGGGCTGCCTAGCACCCAGATGATCTAATGTTAGTTTCTTATACTTTTTCTTATAACAAGGGATTTGGGAACTGCATAACTTTTAAAAATCTTAGTGTCTTTTTTACTAGGGAAAGCAAAGAATACATGATGACATTTAACAGGGAGATTTGATCTTTCTTAGAGGATAAGGCATAGCCTTTCTGAGGCAGAAACATGTTGTTGTTGCTGCTTCTGTTGTGGTTGTTGTTGTTAGGTGCCATTCAGTTGAGTACGACTCATAGTGACCCTATGGACAACCAATCTGAACACAGCCCTAGCTCATGCTATCCTCACAGTCACTAACACATTCAAGTTCATAGCTGCAGTCACCGTGTCAACCCATCGGGCTAAGGGTCTTCCTCTCTCTTGTTGCCTTTCTACCTTCCTAAGCATGTTGTCCCTCTCCAAGGAATAACTTCTCCTAACCACATGCCCAAAGTAGATGAGAAGAAGCTTTATCATCTTGGCCTCCAGGGAGCATTCTGGCTGCACCTTCTCCAAGACTTATTTGTTTGTTCCTTCAACAATCCATGGGATCTTCAGCACTCTTCTCCAGCACCGCAGTTCAAAGACATTGGTCCTTCCTCAGCCATCCTTAGTCTTTGTCCAACGCTCACATGCATAGCCTCTGAGGAAGAAACATTTAGGAATATGCAGGAGTTAGCTTACCAAAAGATAGCATTGATGGTTCAGTGGTAGAATTTTCTCTCATGAACAATGCCTGGATTTGACCCTCGGCTAATGATTGTACATCATGTAATCACACCTTTTCTGTCACTTGGTGCTTTTGTGTTGCTGGGATGCTGATCAGTTTTCAGTGGCGCTTCTAGATTAAGAGAGGACAGGAGGAAAGTCTTGGCAATACACTTGCGAAACCTGGTGAATGAAGACTGCATATCATGTAGTCGGATCAACAACTGATTATGGTGGTGGCGGCATTTTATTCCATTGTCTCTGCAGTCCCCATAAGTCAGGGGCCAATTTGATGGCAGCTAACAGTAACAGCCTGACAGAGAGGCTGGGAAAATGTATATAAGTCAAACCGTCAGCAGATGCAAAGACTGTGCATTGAGAAACAGCATTGGATCCTGATGACTGAGAGATAAGGAGCCATTGGATGGACTAATGGGGGCTCGGGTGCTCATCTCCCCACATCCACCCAGTACATACTTTTGTGCATGGATGGCCATTGGCTATTTGGATAAATGAATAGGAATTTTCATTTCTTCATAATGAAATTTCTCATTTTAACTGTAAATTCTTCCTAGAGACACATGTAATTTCACTTGTCCAACAAGTATCCAGGAAGACAATCTGTAGCCCAGGTTTGTGGGAAACACTACCTGGTGGTACTCGCTGTACTAACTCACTGTCAGTCACCTTCTGCTTTGCATTTCGAGTTCTTTGATATTTAAATGAGGATCAATTTTTTTTTAGGTTCCATCAAGTCAGTCCTGACTCCTGAAATCACCAGTGTTGACTTCTAAAGCCCTTTTGGGAAGGGGGGGGGGGGTTCATAGCACCATTAGCAAGCAAAAACAATTCAAAGGCACCTCAGAGCTGACTCCCCAGCTGGTTTTGGAGGCAGTTAATGACACAGACCAAGATTGCCTGTCTTTGTCCAGCAGAGCAAGTGGTGGATCCAACCGGCTGCCTGTAGGTCAGCAGTGCCCCTCCCTCCAGACTATCCCACAAGAGCTCCCTATGAGGGCTTCATTGTTTGTGCCACCATGGGGCCAGATGTTGGTCTACAGATGTCAAAAAGTTTCAGTCAACACAAAAGGATATTGTCTTTTGAGATGTAATAATGTGTTATTCAGAATTCCATTTGTTTTGAAAATGTATCTTCAGAGAACATTTGAAAAACAGCATTCCCAAAATTCATTTATGAATGAGACTGGCTTCAACTGTGACTTAAGAGACCTCATTATATAAGTGGTATAACCTTGGATAAATTGTCTCTATATTACTCACTAACTCCACTGGTGTCTATAGCATTGATGCCTACTGTCTGGTCAACAGAATCAGGACTCTGGTGGTCTAGCTCCTAGGGAGTTGCACTGCTGACCCTAAAGGTGATTCTAGCAGTTCAAATCAACCCGAGGCTGCATAGGCGAAAGATGCCAACCTGCTCCTCTACAATTTACAGCCTCAGAAAACCTGCAAGAGTATCAGCTATGAGTCACTTCCAATTTGGTAACAATAACTTTTACTTTTTGGACTCAACCAAGTTAGTAAAACTATACCCTGGTGGCCTAGTGGCAAGAAGCTGTGCTGCAATCCCAAATACCCGTAGTTTGAATCCACCAGGTGCTCCAGTAGAAGAATGGGCAATCTCCTCCCATGTGATTAGCTGCCTCTGAGAACATTGGCGGGTGAGCTATGGGTCACTGTTCCAACTCAATGGCACAAAACAACAACAGCCTGGAAGTGTTTAGCATAGTGCCCATGATTACTGAGTACAAAAGAAATGTAGCAGCTTTGATCCAGGACTCTGGTACCTAGTGATTGTGGTGTGGACTCAAGGACAGGACGGGTGGTTCAAATCCACAAGTTGCTCCCTGCGAGAAGATGGACCGTCAGCTCTGAGACACTTGACATGTGACAACAATAAGAGTTGCTTTGATTGTTACAATTAAAGTTACTATTATTATCATAAGGTTGATGCTGTCAGAGGAGAAGAGTAAACCAAAAACAGATTCTCTAGTTTTCCCACGCTGATAAGCGTGTTCTGTCTTCTTCAAAGTTTAGCCACTTTTTTTTTTTAAAAAAAAGGTCTTTCAAATTTGTTTTTCATTTTTTGAAAAAGAGTATTTTGTTTTGTTTTGCTTTCTCACAGGCGTGATTGGAGCAGATGTGAGGGGGCACGGCCTCGCCTGTGAAGGACAGCCCATGACATCACGCCTGGCTGTCATCTGTGGAACATCTTCTTGTCACATGGGGGTGAGTGGGCCAGACTCACAGACAGCACTGCACAGGGTAAAGGGCAGTGGAGGAGGAAATCCTGAGCTGCTGCCTCTTCTTTCCTCAGTTCCTTCGCTCTTTTTGCCCCACCCCACCTCCATGTGCTTTGTCTGACCAGAAGCCCCATCCTTCTCTCCCACGCCCTTGCTTAGATTTTGCCAGCTCTTTTCCCAGCAGCCAGATTTTTAGAAAACGTGGCGAGGGCTGCGTCTGCCTTTGATGTCATCCTGACCAGAGATCTGGGCCATGAAGGGCGAGAATGGGTCCAAAGAAAGCAAAGCCGAGCTCTGGGTACCAGTCAGTCCCTAACGGGTAGCTCAGACCTCCACAAAAGGATGTCTGTTTTCCTTGGCCTCTGAACTTTCTCTCAATCAATATAAATCCATCTCCTCCGGAGCATCCTGATGATCTATAGAATTAGCCTGCATATCATGACTTCAAAAGAACACTGATAAGCAATTTTCACTTTGTTAATTTTGCTTCATGAATTAGTGGAAAGGCTTTCTCCAAGATTGCAGTTAAAATTTAGTGCCTGCGCTAAAATTTATATCTTCTTTAAATGCACAAGTCTGAAAGCATTCCATTTCGATAAGTACCCATTTCTACCGTATTTTTATTTAAAAGTCATTACTCTGTTCAACTTAGATGGACGACTCCTTGGATTTTTCCCAGATGAGGGAAATAGAAGGGGGGAGAGGAGGAGGAGGAGGTTAACTGAGGGGTGGGGGAGAGAAGGTGAGCGTGACTAGAGGGGACACTGGGGTAAATTTGCAGCAACCCTGAGGTGCTCACAGAGCACTGTGGAGCTGTGTGCAGCTGCCTCAGGGACCACTGAGTCTTTTTCATGAAATATTTCAGTTGAATACATACACTTGAGCCCATCTTCTTGGGTCAGATGCTACGCTAAACCCCGGGACATAACAATGAGATGGGACCCTCCATTATGAGTCAGATTTTTAAGATCTTTTAGAATACAATATGAAGGTTCAAAATACAGATACAAATTGAACTAGTGATTGTTCTTGTCATCCAGGTGGCTCCTATTCATGGTGATCTTTACATAGAACAAACATCACCCAGCTGTACACATCTTCGTGATTATTGGCGTGTTTGAACCTTTTATAGAGGCTGTCATGTCATTCTTCCTCACTGAGGATTTCCCTCATTTTCATTGGCCAAAGAGCTCATGATTCTCAGCACCTATGGGCATTATCATCCACAACATCCCATTTAATAAATATGATGGAGCCAGCTCTATTGGTTTCTAACTCTAGATACTCCACTTACCAACTGTGGGCCCCTATCAGGTTAAATTATCTTGGCCTCATGTTCCTCATCTGCAGAATCTGGAAAATTATATTATCTGTCTTTCATAGCCCTGTGGATAGGGAGTTTTGCTGCCAACACAGAGATGGCTCAATCAAATCCAGCAGGGACGCTGTAGGAGACAGGAAATCTCTTCCTATGTTATTGATAGCTTCTTAAACAGTGTTTTGTTGTTTGTTATGTGCCATTCAGTCTGCTGTAATGCTTAACAACCCTATATACAACAGTTCTGAAGCTTGCCCTGTCCTAAGCCAGTCTCACTGACTCTGACACACCTACCCCCCCCATTGCCCTAGTTGTTGTACCAATACATCTCATCCAGGGTCCTCCTATATTGCACTGTCCCTCAACCCTTTCGAGCATGGTGTCCATCTCCAAGACCAAACCTTCTTGGCTACATGCCTAAAGTATGTAGCCAAGGAGGCATTTGCTTACACACTCTCCAAAACAGACTTATTTGTTTCCTTGGTGATCCATGATATGTTCAAGACTCTTCTCTAGCACCACAACCCGAAGGCATTGAGTCTTATTCTGTCATACTTAGCCATTGTCCACCTCTCTGATGCATAGCAAGTAATAGCAAAAACCATGGCCTGAATCAGCGCACCTTAGTCTCTAGACTGACATGGTTCCTTCTCAGTACTCTGGAGAGATCCCTGGCAGTGCATTTTCCCAATGCAATTCATCTTTTTATTTCCTGACTGTCAATGCCAAGAGTGTTGATTGTGGAGCCAAACAAGCTGAAGCTGTTAACAACTTCAGTCTCTTCTCCATCTATCATGATGCTGCCAATTGGCCCAATGGTGAAAATCTTTGTCTTCTTGATTTTTAGCTTCCATCCATATTGAAGACTACAGTCCTTGACCTTCTGCAGCAAGCACATCAAGTCCTCCTCAGTTTCAGCAAACAAGGCTGTGTTGTCTACATGAAGTAGGCAGTTAATGAATCTTCCTACAATCTTGTTGCGACATTCCTTTTCATAAAGCCCAGCCTCCTGAATGATCTGTCCTACATATAGACTGAAAAAGTGTGGAAGCAGGATGCATCGCTGATGCACTCCTTTCCTAATTTTGATCAATGCAGTGTTTCTTTGCCCTGTTCTGAGGACTGCTTCCTGGTCCTAGTAGAGGTTTCACATAAACACCATCAAGTACAGGAGAATTAACTATGATTCAGTTATAGTCAACCAAAATGATAAGGAGAAGAGTATAAATCAAAATGAAGTACAGTAAAACCTACATAAGCAAATACTCTGTAAGGTGAAAACCTGATATGGAGGGAAAGTTCAACCATTTTCCACTAAAATGAGTGGCAGGGAAATAGTAAGACTATGTCCTGTCAAAGACTAAAAACTTGCAAGACTCGAAAAAAATAAGGCAGTCTCTTCAATTTCCAGCTTTCAAGAATTATTTTTTTTTTCAGCACTTCAAAAGGAATACTTGGGTTTTGCTACTAAAATACTGTGTCTTAAGTACTGTAGACACATTGCCTGGAGTGGCCAATTCCTGGATGGCACTAGGCGTAATATTTTAGACAGAGAAGAAGAGGAACACCCTGAATGAAACGGATTGTTATAATGATGTGTTCAAGTACAGAAGTGTTTGAAATGATGGCACAGGACAAGGCAGGGTTTCTCCTGCTGTATGTAAAGTTGCTATGAGTTGGAGCTGAATTGGTAGCATTTACCAACAACTGGCACTCTAGCAGTGTAGTCCGTAAGGATTTGTGCTGCTAACTCATAGGGTGCACCTCTCTGGTGGTTCAAACCCACCAGTTACTCCTTAGAAAAGATGGGCCGTTTTTGTGATTTGGAACTTCCAAAGACCCTGGGTGGGTCAACTGTGAGCTGGTTCTAACTCCAAGGCAATGCCTGAGCCTTTATTTATTTAGTGGTTTTCATTCAGGTCTCTAAGAAGCAGCAAACCAGATGAATATAAGTGCCTGCTCCTTTCTCTATGTAAGATCCTGCTTCTCAGTCCCATTGCAAATGCACATGATACTGACTTTTTCTACTGCAAACTATGACCAAACTATGGCCCAGAAAAGTCCAGTAAACTTCCTAAGGTCATATAGAAAGTAAATGTTGGAACTTGGTGTTCAGATCTAACTGTTTATTTGAAAGATTTTCAGTGCTTTACAATATTGGTGGCCTCAAACTGCATGCCTTCAGGATTGCAGCTCAGCTTCTTGCCATCAGGCCACCAGATCTCCCAACAATATTGTACAGGTTTATGTTTCCATGGAGGATCGAAGAGCCTGGACTTTCAGGTCACCCACAATTGGGTTACTTACTTGCTCTGTGACCTAAAGAGAGCAACCTAACCTCTCTGAGCCTCAGTTTGCTCAGCCATCACATTGGAGGTTATACTACTGGTCTTCTAGGCTGTTATTGTGTGGATCATGGACATTATACATGTAGCAATCTAACACGCAGTGTTAATGGATTTTATGTGACTTGGATCTACACTTAAATACCATGTAAACAGCAGTCTAGGTATCAAACGATGTGTTTCACTGAGCAGATAAATTGCCAGAATCTCTTTAATATGCTAAGGAACAAGGATGTTACATTAAAAGACAAAGATGTATCTGACTTAAACCATGGTGTATTCAGTTACTTCATATATATATAAGCTGAACAATGAAAAAGGAAGATTAAATTAGAATTGATGACCTTTAATTGCAGCATTAGAGACAAAAGAATATTGAATACACATTGTGCGTGCATGTGTGAGAGAGAGAATGTCAGCCAAGAGAACAAACTAATCTACCTTTGAAGACGTGAAACCAGAGTGCTCCTTAGAACCATAACGATGAAAGTTCAACCCACATTGGCTGTATTATCAGGAGACTCCAGTCCCTGGAGAAGGGCCTCATGCATGTGAAAATAGAGGGTCAGCAAAAGAGAGGAAGGTTTTCAGTGAAATCAACGGGCACAGTGGTCGCAACCATGGATCTAGCACAGTCAATTGTGAAGATGACACAGATTGAGACAATGTTCTTTACTATTGTAATAAGATTATAGAGTTGCTATGAAGAGAAGCTGACTCGACAGCACATAACAACACATAGTTAAGCACTCCAAATGGTGGTGGGCATTCTTGGTAAACATTCCTAAAAGACTTACATGAAGCAAATGTTGGACTTAGAGTTTGATGAGCAGCTGTAGTTGGTCTCAATGAATGAGGGCCATAAAATGCCTGTTTATTATGGTCATATTATGTCTGAAATAAAGTCCCCACCCCAACCCCCTTTGTACTTAGGAATGGGAAGGGACCTTCTGGGTGAGGGGATTAATCATAAGCTTTAGTGTTATGTCGTGAGGGCAAGACTGTGGTCATGTTGGCAATGAAAAGCACCTTTGATCTCCCTCAGGTGCTGGGAGCAGGCAAGCCGGCAACAATAACACCTTTGTGAGGCCTGAGAGAGGTGCAGGTCTGAGGAAACACTCCCAGGGAAACTCAAGTACCCCCTTTGTTGTGGTTCTGGCAAATTAAACTGCCAACTGTCAAGAAGCATTCCCCCAACAGAACACAGGGACCAAAGAAGACAGTGGGTTTTTTTAAATGTGGTTTTCAATATGATCTAAAGGATTCTCTTTCTTCCTGTCTGTCCACTTTTGATGTTTCCAATTCAGTGGGTTGAGTGAGACA